GATGCTCACCTCACGGGAAAAATTTATACTACCAAAGCTGCTCTCTGGCTCAGTGCAGTTCCTGTTTTTTTGGGGGTGGGGTGGGGTGAGGGAGGTACTCTCGTATTCCCAAAGAAAACTGATAGAAACAATTGCAAAGATTGATAAAAACAAAGAGGAAAATTTAACCTTCAAAATTATATAATCCAATATCCTACTTATAAGTCCTTAAAAAGTTCCCTTCTTTCTGTACTTTGTAACTCTGGGCCCTATTCTCCCCCCAAAGTATGCCCAAATTAGATTAGATGTCCTCCAAACTGCCTACAGGGTCCCCTGACACATGCATCCTGTTCATGTACTATGGCATAGGTTCCCAAACTTATTTGGTCTATTGCCCCTTTTCAGGAGAAAAAAAATTCCAACACCCCCTGGCAATTAAGAACTTTTGTACTATAGCCTATAATTCAGGAAGAAATATAAGTATCTGCCTTTGCAGCCCCCTTGGATCATTCCAGTGACCCCCCTAGGGAGCAGTATCAACCCCTTTGGGAAACATTGCATCATAGTTTTGTTTATTTTGGATCAGGAAAAATAGTTGCATTGATACTGGTTAAGTTAGGTATGCTTACCAAGAAGCTTGGTAGAAGTCTCCTAGCGTTTAGTTAACTTTGAGTTCAGTCCACCATTGACTTGCCAGTTGTCACACTGGGCTGGCTTGCGTGATGCTGTTATGTTGGGACCTTTGCTGCTGCTGTTAAAAATGCCAGAAGGGTAGCCCATAGTAGTAGACAGGTTTCAGTGGAGTTTCCAGATTCAGACAGACCTAGCAGTCTATTTCTGAAGAAAATGAGCCAGTGAAACCTTATGAGTAGCAGTAGAATACTGTTTGATAGAATCTCAAAAGATGAGCTCCCCAGGTTGGCTGGCTTGTAACTGAGAAAGAGCTGCCTTATCAAAGTGGAGTCAATCTTAATGATGTGGATGAAGTAAAGTTTTGGGAACCTTCATTTGCTGATGTGGCATGTCTTACAATGAGAAGAAACAGGCGTACTGTATATCCATTAGTAATTGGAATATGAGATGGACAAAGTGTGAATGTAGGAAAATTTGAAGTTTAAAAAATAAAGATCAAAATCCTAATTATTACTGAGCTGAAATGAATGAGTATTGACCATTTTCAATCAGACAGTTGTTCGATCTACTATGCCCTGCATGACAAATTGAGAGAAAGGACATCACATTCATTGCTGAAAGGAACATTTCAAGACCTGTCTGTTCTGTCAGTGATAGGATAAAATCTGTACACAGAAAGAACCCACATTATCCACTCACCACTTGTGTTAGACAGGGTT